GTATTCCATAGAATTTCTCTGCTCGTCTTCTGACAGTTCGAACGAAGTATGTGTTCTAAATGAAATGTTTCCTTCTATATTTGGTTTTCGAGATTTTATTTCACCAGTCACATTCAGCGGGTCACGTTTTAAAGATCGACGACTTGTGCGGACATGATTAGGACGAAGATTTTAACTTGAGAACTTGGGATATTCTTCCCCACCTACACTGCTTTTCAGAAAACTGATTTTCGTGTTCACCATGTAAGCCTGACAGGAAACTTAGGAAACATTTCAAGTTCTTTTACTATCACGGGATTCTTGCTCCATTTCAAATCACCAAAAAATTCATTGAGTCACGAAGCAAAAAAAGGACTTCCAAATAGTCTTGAAGCAGTTGACACTTCACATTTTCCTGCAACACCAGAGAAATACATTTTCGTTGCATGGAGGATTTCGTCATGAGCTAACATCAGTTACACAACCACTGGAAAACCTTGGAATACTGGACAGTCGTTTCGTCTTAGTTTTGGACTCTTCATCAGTACGCACCCACCGGGTTCAAACCCGGGACCTTCTGGTTACAAGGTGAGCTCGTAGGCCATTGAGCCACTGGGACCCGATCCAGTGGTCCTTGAATTCTAACTCCTGCCGATTCACGACACAGCGCGACCACTTTACAATGTCATTTTCGATGAGTTAGTGCCTCATCTTCAACCTTCTGTACCCTACTGGTCACAGATTCTCAATTTTTGTTCGATTGCATGGAGGATTTCATCATGAGCTGACATCAGTTAGAGAACCACAAAATCCCTACAAAACCAATACTTGAAAATACATTTGCAACCACTCCAGTAAATCATTATCTCCTATGCAATTGCAAGCTTTGTCGTTGGTCCGTGACATTTTGACAAATTGGGGTGACTTCGATATGAAAGTCCGGTTTGAAGCACTGATCCATCAGACAAGTAATTTTATCACAGTGTCCATTAGTTAATATGAACAATTTCATCGACGTTGGCACTCAGATTCAACTACTTAAAAAATACTCTGGGGATGCATTTTCAATACCTAGTCCAAGTTCAACAACACACTCTATGGACAAAGAGGTGGAGTGACCACCCGGAAAAGGTTCTAGTTGTCAATTCTTTGACTGTTGCTGTGGATTTAACTTGTGCGCCAGGCTTCATTGATTATAATCAGTGACGATCTCCATACTGAGGCTAATTTACTTAGTGATGAATGTTTTACAGAAGTGACCTAATATTCACGAGGATAATAGGTAGACTCGGCTAAGATTTTGTTTGCGCGGACAAAATCCTGACTACAGTGACCGTGACTGTTATCCGTAAACAAGTTTGTAGACTGATTAACCACTGTCTTTGGACCACTGGGGACACCACTTATACTTCTCTGACTAGTCACCTTTACGAAAAGAATACGGTGATATTTCATTCACAGTGATGAGGGTGTAAATAAATCAACAGTCGCCACCGGTACAACTCAAATCCTTAAATCTTCTCAATATCTAGTATATGGTCAATTATGGTAGAAGTCCATTAAATATTGCATCTAAAGGAAATATAAGCTTCTCATAAACACACATCGATATCTCAACATTGTAGAGCAATCAGACAGGATTTTAGTTGCAATTAACTAAATCCCAGTGGTGAACAAGCTGTAGTGTGTATCTGGAAATTCTCCTATACGCTGATTATCCTGACAAATCCAAATGACTACCTGTACAACACCAATAAATACGGCAATTTAAGACACAATGGGAAAATCCCAATGCTTGCATTATAAATCTCTTTGGCTAACTCGGTGTTAATATTCAGCTCCAGCATGCTTTATTTTTCGTTTTCTATAGATTATTATTCCGGTTACTGAGACACTAACGATTTCCTGGACTAAAATTTGTAAACTTTTTAACTGTATAAAATGGCATTACTGATTTTATTCCATTACCTTGTCTTATATATATCTTCTGTAATTGAATAATTGGAAGTATGTCTAGTCTATTTGTGCATTGCATCACAAATTGATGATGCCTGCAAACTGGCGTCCCTCACAAACAAATGAGGATAATTATGAATATCAGTGGTCACCCCGTTTACAATTAAATGTCCTAGGCTACTTAAATGGAGGAAAAAATGCTACATTGATGCTGGAATTCACACATAGTGTGGGTGTACGGAAGATAAAGTCTACATCTTAGAATAAAACCTGGTTAAAGTCTGGAAAGCTCGAAGGATGGCTGACTGTCACAGAGTCAGTGATTTAGGGCTTACACTGTTTGAGTCCGGAATACAAGTATTCACTCGATTTTGATAGATGGCCGATTAAAAGCTATGTTATAGAAAGGAATAATTTCACCGTGCTATAAACAGTGATTCATTGCTAGTGGAAAATAATTTAATGTTAGAGTACGTTCGTAGTTAATTTTATTATTCGTCAACGAGCAAACAAAATGAAGGCGACAAAACATCATGGTAAACCGCTAATCAAACACGACTACGTATTATCCATAGTGAACACAGGTTGAATTTTCTTCATGTGAGTTTGGTGCCTATAAACCTGCACATGGTTAGTGACTAGACTGTTAACTCATTTTGGTGCCCTTCTGGTTACCACGGACGCATTCGAAAAGTATTCAATGTTTGTTAATTACACCCAAGGATATGGATATAGATTGAAATGATCAGAAGTTACAGGACTTAGGGTTTTTCAAAGTCAGTGAATTCACTTACAGCATCCAGAATTTCCCCACTGAAACGAGTACGGTATTTCAGATTTATTCCATTCAGTCCAGCAGCTACCACGCATACAATATATTTAAATGTTCTTGAGATTTGACGGATTATATCTGCCGAAGCATATATATATCTAATTGGCTTAATGGTATGTTTGCCCCTACAAACACCGCACAACTATTACAGAGTATGAAGCGGTGTCCAATTTATTAATCAAATGCTCGACAAATTAATGGAAGAGCCCACATACCGTTTAGGCAGGAATGGAACAGATGTACAGCTTTTCCAATAGCTGGCCAACTGCTGATGTTGGCAGGGGAGAATAGAATCATTCGGCTTTTACTTGCTTACTCCAGGCTTTCTCTGGGTAGCAAGGCGGAGGGGAAATTTAGCTGCAATTATTTTGTAGTAAGAAATTCAGTGAGATTTCTGCTTGTTGTTAAACGTTTGTTAAATGCTTTGAATTACACCCTTAATTTTTCTCATTATTTCATGAATTAAATGGTCAAGGAAGAAGCACAAACGTCGCACATTTGGAAAGAAATCTAATTGTCTTCCAATGAAAGCCTGGACATTGAAGAAATTCCTCGTGTTGACATTTCGTTAGCTGTAGGTCACGGCGGCAATTTCGTTATAATATTCCTATTTGGCAGTGAGTTTTCGCTAATATTTGTATCGTGTTGATTAAGTGTTGTCTTTTCTGGTTGTAAATTATGACTTATTTTGACATGCGCTAGAGGACAATTCAAGATTGAAAGTGCGAATAATGATAAAAAACCTAGATGGTGCTCAATCCAGGCACCAGTGGCCGTCGCTACATCGCGTATCAGTCCCATCGTTATTATTATAGATTATTGATATAAGCTTACTGTCTAGATAATATGTACAAATTACGTGCTTCTGTTGCGAAGATTGGAAGTCATCACACAGAAACTTAGATAATGGTAGATCACGTCGTTTAAACCTGAAGGTGATGCTTTCTCAGAAGCACTTGTTGGAATTTTGCAGATTATCCTGTTGTTATTATCGTAAATTGACTTGGTGACACCACGTGACTCTGACTGCATGCAACTCCATGCACCTCAGTGGCTGGTACAGTTAAACTCAACGTTGGTCAAACTTAGGTTCTATTACAGAAACTTTGGGCAAGCTTCGGGTCCTTTGCAGAATTGCACCCTTAAATTTAATGGAACTAAGTTCCGATTTCCGCCGCAAACCCTACTTCCTTTGCCCGGAATTTTTTAGCAGTGAACGTGAAGTTTATGCTCTCTGGATATCCACTGGAGGAACACGGTGCCTTTTGTGTTTTAATCTATTTTCCTAATTGCCATCGTGTACTCAACTGTTACCAAGGAGCTTCTGCTTAAGTGATTGTGTTGGTAATGCACTCAGTGATTTACTGTTTATCTTAAGTGTCATTTATGCACACTAAATATACGTGGTTATAGTTCATTTTAATTCGGACACTATCAATGTAAGGCTCGGCATTATTGCACACTGTAATTTTGTTTATTCCTTATGTTCACACCAAGCACGTGGTAGAAAGTAAAACAAGCAAATGGCATTAAGTACGTAAAAAACCAAACAAGGGATTTCAGTCTTTGAGAAAACATGGATGCACACATGGCACTGCACTAAGTTTTGAACCTTATCGCATTGAGCCTAACACAGGTTCCAGTATTCGTATGCCAGCCCATAGGTCTTAGGCTGACCATCAAATTCCCTTTCTGTGGTTGTCATGTCTTGGTCGCACTAGCCTTTGTTCTTTACAACATAATCGTACCCCTTGCTAACATATCAAGGTATGCAGTAGGTAACTACGCCTAACACTTCTCATTTTCATTATGCGATGAAATATGTACTTTATAGTTCTCGTATATCCGCTTTGTGTATACTTTAGACTGAGTACTGATTAAGTTGACCTTGTTGACTATTCTCTCGACGTAATTGTGCAATGAGGAAGGCTATTTAGATATTTCGAAGAATTCGAGTATCTTGTTTAGTATAGGTGTAAACGCCGGGACTTCATATCAGAGTCACTGTATTAAAACCTTTATCCCCCAAACTCCCATGTTCCCATCCATTTTGAGCATCTGGGAATGAGTATTTCTGCTCATTTTTCGTCTGAGAATATTTGGCCGGAGTGAAATTTACGTGCTTATTTCTTGTGACAGTAGTGGCGCAATTTTCTAGTCTAATGTAAGGAAAACTCTTCCCATCTTTTTGTAGCTGAATGTGTTCATTTGTTAAATCCGCCGTATAAACATCATGGAAGATTCATCATCGTGTGAATACATAGTGGCGGGAAAGTGGAGTCTATTGCGAAAAATTGGTAGTGGATCTTTCGGCTCCATTTATTTGGGGGTTAACATTTTTACGGGAGAAGAAGTGGCAATTAAAATGGAGCGGGTTCATGCACGACATCCTCAACTCTACTTCGAGAGCAAGGTTTATCGAACATTGCATGTAAGTTCATACTTTGAAAAGATAAAAATCTTAAGGGAACTCCGGGAATACCTCAAATTCAGTTCTATGGACTCGATGGTATTAGAAATCTTCATTATGTCATGGTTATGGAGCTTTTGGGACCCAGTTTAGAGGACTTATTTACTTTTTGTGGACGTAGATTTACCATGAAAACTGTACTAATGCTTGCTGATCAGATGCTATGGAGGCTGGATTTCTTGCACGCAAAAAACTTTATTCATCGGGACATAAAACCGGACAACTTTCTAATGGGTATTGGTCGTCACTGTAACAAAGTATTACTCATTGATTTCGGTTTGGCCAAAAAATTCCGGTAAGATTTTTTTGTGTTGTTGCATGCGAATTAATGTCTACAAATTGTGTAGGAAATTACGTACATTTTCTCAATATATGAGTTTCCGTGAGAAGTATAGTAGTCAAAAGTTTCAGGGAGTATGAAGGCTATTATTCTCACAATATGATATAATAACTTGTAGGAACTTGCTACAATAATACATATTAAGTGGAAAAATTGTGTCTCAGATGCTTGTGGCTAGTGTTAATTCTGTAGACAACTAGGCTAGTGGTAAACATTTGGTGAACCGTAAGTATGTGGGCTGTTAGTCGCGAATGCTTTCAGCAAAGATTTATATGTATTAATCTGCCTAGGGCACTTTCTTAGTAGAAAGCCTGGGAATATTTTCACCACTAGATGTCAGTTTTGTTTAATTACTGAGTGGTTAAGATATGACTAGCAAAATGATTAGTAAATGTTTTTTTTGGTAACACAAAGTTAATACAGTTGTGTTATATTTTTCTAGTAGTTATAGTATAGATTCAGGAAATGAAAAAAGTAAATGGGTTAAATGAGGAGAAACGTGTGAAATTTATTAGTATCAAGCGCTTCTACACCTACACTCTAATCTATCTTTGACTCTGGCAAAATTTTGAGTAATGTTCGGACGTCATCCGAATGTTCTACACTTCAGCCAAATTAATGATCAGAGACTGTGCATATAAAGTTCAACTTCAGATTTCTGTTGTATACCACTCATGTCTTGAACAATTCAGTTGGTGAATATTTCTGGCCTCATCAGTTGATGTGCTTACTTGTGGTACTAATGGTGAAACCATAAAATTCTTCACTAATCTTTCCCACTCACTCTTGTTTGTCTATTTTGGTATAATCTTTTGTATCTTCGTCTTTTGCTCACTTTTTCGAGGTGTAGTAGCTTGAAACGATTCAACTTTTTTCGCAAAGTTCTATATCGATCATCCAATCTAACTGATATTGCAGAGTATATGCATGTTGATGTTTCTATGACTGAAGATCTGAAGCCATCGGCATACATCTATGGTAACTGTCCACAATATAAATGAAGTATTGGTTTGCGTATATTATCAATGAACCTGTAAAGTTTGTTTAGTGTTAAATTAAGCATGCATTTAGACTGATGCTGAAACATACTTTAGCATTTCACTTACCAGACACCTCCTAAACTTAATAATGCAGTCACTAAGGGTTTTGAGTAGATCCTAACCGCCTAAAATGCTTGTCACCTACTCTCAAAGATGTTCGACAGGAGATGAGTATGTAGGATATCAACGGTAAAGTCATCTAGACATTAAATGCGCGTAATAGTTGAGAATGTTTTCTCTAGTTTTACTTTTTGGACATCCATTATTTGCAGTTGAGAATGTTTAGGGGTGCTATTTTCCAGGGCATGATCAAAGTTCAATGCAGCTTCTCCAGATTTATGAAACTTGTAAGGGTCTGGCATGTTTATTGCCTTCTATTAATATATTATTTTCTCCTTGCTATTGGAACAGAACATAAGACTTCGGTGGTACTTCTCCACTACACTCACTTCTTTGCCTTCACGTTCAACTGACTGCTCGCTAACTTTCATTTTCTATTCACATAATTTCCATGTCACCATCAGACGCCCAACTCGTCGCTTCCGATTCGGCTTCCACTTGAGGGCCTATCGTGTGAAGTCACTCGAAAGCATCCTCAGCGTATTTCAAACCCACCTCAGTTCCCCTATGTATATAAGTTTGGGAGTATGGGTTGTTGTCAATGATTCACTACCACAGTTGCTTCTGACATATTTTTTTTGGCCAGCCATGTGATATTCCAGGATAGAACTGACTTGACCAGTGTTATAAATTCGGATTTTGTTCCCCATGCTGAGTGTTGTGGATTTCAAAGCCATGACCACCTTTTGCTTCCTCAATTCTGTTTGATTTTGTATCCTTAACTGTGTCGCCTGCCGCCGAGATAAGCGAAGGAGAGTTCCTTTAGATTTCTCCCATCGATGGTGATTGATGTTTGTTGTTGTTGGTTCAGTATCTTCATCAGCTGTCTTGTAAATCTTGAAGTTTGTGGGATATACGACACAAATCATCTGTGAAGTTATGTTGGTCTACCAGATGTCTGTCTTCTTACTCAGTCTTGTTACCAGTAAGCTGCATTTCCATTTTTTTTTTGAGGTGGGAATTCAGTCTATTTGATTTTTGATGTGTCCATCAGGTGAAACGCACATTACCTTGTGTTTGTTTATGGTGCTTTCAACCCCAAAATCAATTATGGTGCAAAAGTTTACATATGGTAATCCGTTATCACTCAGTTCACCGACCTGTTGTTGACTCATGATGGGTTCTCTTCTTGTGTTGTTGTCTGATGCCACTTTGGCATTCGTATCAAACTTGACCGCGTTGATTTTCTACCTTATCATAATACACTGTGCGTAAGCTGCAGTTACTTTGTTGATAGTCAGTATCGTTAGGCGCAGTACTATGATGATTTTTTTCTGTACTTTCCCGTTATTGGTGATTTTTTTTCGGTTTGTAGGTTCAAACAGTCATAGAAGGGCTTATGTACAAGTGTTAATCGAAGTTACTTTTCACACCAGTCAAGCTATGAAATAATACATTTAGTATTACAGCTGCTGCTCAGTCATTTGTAAAAGATCAGATTTGTGACACCTTTTATACATAGGTATTTCTTCATTACACTTTATTCTAAGACTATCTTCTGGTGTAGTCAAAAAAAGAATTGACAGCGTGGTCAAGAATATTCATCAAATTGACTGATTATAATCTCAAGACAATTAGTTAAAGGCCTACCTCACAAATTCCAACTAATTTAATTAGGCATTTTTCTGAAGCAAAACGACTTGTTTTCACTTGATTCCTAAACTGTGGAAACTTCATTAATAACGTTTGGCATCACCAATAAGAATTGGCTCGAAAGAATAATATTCTCTGCAATGATCTACGCATGGCACCAACTGTAACTGATTAGTCTTTTACTGAAGTACCAATTTTATGTCCACTTTTTAGGTAGTTAGATTTGAGGATCACTTGTAATTTTCAGCGGCATTGTAGGACTTTTCGTACAAGGCAGATGAATTACTTCTACGAAAACTTACTAGACATGCATACACATATAGGTATATGTTTATACAGACTCACTAAAAATTAGTCACTGTATGTTACTGAGCTCTGAATATTGACCTAATTTTATAGGTTAGGTTTGTTGTTAATTATATTGCTTCTATTTTATTCCTTTACGTCCCGGTGAAACAGAACTTCAAGCTAGAGCTTTGGAGTTTCGGGAGCCGTGGTTTTATCTTTATAGGGTCAAGTCGTTAGCCTCACTCCTAGCCCTCCCTCTCTACCGGCCTTACTGCCGGCTTAGTGGGGTTTGGGAGTACGCCCTCCATGGATCAAACCCCGGACCGCATGCGTGATTGGCAAACGTTCTGCCGCTGAACCACTGACTCACTCCTAGGTTTGCTACATCACCACTGAAATAAGTAGTGATAAGGAATTGTATATGGTGCTGAATGTTTGAAGACATTGGGTATTTGCAGCGTTAAGGCGTATTTCATCACCTACGTGACTACATATTTGCCACCATCTCTGTGAGACTCCAGGGGAAATTCTCACTTTGCTAAATAAGTGTTTTTATTGTTAACTACCAACATGGAACAGTTATCCGCTTATTTTTTTAGCAGTGCATAAGTTACTTTGACCGTCGTACAACTTAATTCCAACCCATCTTTCCTCTTTCATTTTCGTGTGTTTCTACAGTCTGTGCCTCTGTAATTCATTCACTTTTTTGCTTCTCTGTCAGATGTATGTTGGAGATTTAAGTGTCGGTTCCTCGTGCCGCATCAAGAAAACAGGTTTCATTGGCCAAAATCTGAACATCCATCGTCATGGATGTGTAACGTGTTTCAGAGACACCTATGCAAGGTTGAGGTGAGGTTTTTCACTCGAATTCACTACTACTAATATCATAGTTGTGTGCACTTGATGTTTTAATGTTTAGAGATGCTATGAGTTCTTGTGAGCTTTTAGGTGCCATGGCTCCCTTTCAGAACAAGGGAAAACGCGTGTTTGGCTATACTATCGTCAACTATACGAGGCTTTTTCACTTGGTGATTAACCCTTTCAGTGTTTGAGAAGGCTAAGAAGTGTTCTCTTCATTTTGATCTTTTCACTTAGCTTGGACCTTCTGTGTATACTACACGTAATTGTAATTCTGGACAAGAAAAATCTAAATAAACAATTGTTTTCAGTGATTTCTTGTAATTTATGAGCACATTTTGTTTACTGATATCATGTTATAGTTGCAAGTACACCGCACAGATACTGAAAATTTTATAGGTTTTATGGGGCTGACGAGAAACCAGTGAAATTTAATAATGTCCTATTCGGTTCGTTCATATGCATAGAATGTTAATACACACATGCCCTTTCTTAAGGTATAATCAACTTTGTATCTCTAGGAGTCAAAAACTATATCCCAGCAACCATATGCAAACTTTTACATTCGACTGTGTGTCGTACCTATTCTCTAAAGGTCAGTGATACCGCTTACGTCAATACATCTTGGAGAGGGATAAAATCTTGTTACCCACTAGTAATATTATTATTCCCCTGGGTTCCGAATGGAACATAGGGGTTCAGCAGCACATCTACATTTCATTATATTCTCTACAGTCCTCTTTAGCTGTCTGGCTCTACGATTGCCCATAAGATCTTATCGCCTCCTCACACGATCTCGTCTATGCCACCCTTGGTCGCCGAACTAGTCGTTTCCCATTCTGGTACCACTCGAGCGGTGGTCCAGCGCGTGATGTCACCCATTGGTATCCCCAGCATTTGTCCGATCCACTTCTGTTTTCTTCGGCATATTTTCTTGGTTGGTTTGTCCCCAGAGTTCCGTATCACTTATCATCTGTCGCTGATCATCTGGTCTTCAGTATCAAGTGGAGGCGTCAGCTGTTGATGAAATTCTGCAGTCAGTTGGAAACGCCTTTG